TCGGTCAAATATCATGGCAACCGTTTGGAGAAATGTGGTTTCGAGAAAAACGTGTTTAAAGTTCTAAATACGTTCATCGTATTAACGCTGAACATCACTAGCTAGAAACTAACAAAATCAAACCCGTACATTCGATGTTTATTCGTGTTATTTCCCTGTACACTTCAAAAAACGCTTGTCAAATCCTTCCCCCGAAGTGTTCATTCGTTAAGAAGGTGAAAAGGAGATGATGAGTGGTTGAAGAAGAAGTTAAAAGAGTAGAAAGGAGGGGAATAATTGGAGTAAGGAACAAGGAACAGGTAGAAGACGAAAATAGAGAATTTAAAAATAAAAAATAGAAGATAAATGGTGTTACTACGAAGCCGATAGTGCATCGCACCGAAAAAGAGTGAAGAACAATAACGAAGCTCGAGCTCGTGTCGCTGGTGGTACGCATGCGCGGGAGATCCACGCTTTCGTAGGGAGAAATCGTTTGCGAAGGATCGCGGCGAAGAAAGGTGGAGAGGTCGGAGGACAACGACCAGAGCACAGCTCCGGGGAACCGTTGATAGGGGACAGATGGTCGCACGAGGTTGGACGAAAGGGCCAAGCTACACGCCAGTCGAAAAAGGGTGCGACCTTCACCGGCCTCGGCCAGCCCTCGGGGAGACCGCGCCCACGCATTTTCAGCAGGATCGCAGCAGGTAGTCGGAGCTCGTTTGGCCTTCGAACCTCTTTTCCTTCCGTCTTTACCCCGCTAACGACTCTCACTCCCCCTCTCAAAAGGTCCATCGACCAGAATAGTAGTCATTAGGGCCGTCGAATTTCACGAATACTCCATACACAGCTCCGAGCTCCAAACTATCGAATGGCTCGATCGAAATGTCTTTGGGATTTAAATGATCAAAGGTCCTCGACGTACTCCCAGGTCTTCAGGTCTCCAGGTCTCCAGGTCTTTCAGAGGACAAAGCCAGGTGGTCAGGGTCGGTACAGCGAGTGTGACGATTTCTGAGGATCTATTTCTGAGGATTTCTAGGTGTTCAGGATCGGTACAACGAGTGTGAGGATTTCTGAGGATTTTTAGGGGTTCAGGGTCGGTACAGCGAGTGTGAGGATTTCTAGACCTTCGAGACCATTTTTACTTGGGCAAATTGCGTTGTGGTCATTATAGGGAATATCTCCAAACTCCATAGAGGACTTGGAATCCTTGGAGCTCTTCCTCACAGCTGGGGGAGCTCTTCCTCTCGTGGTTGTTGGGCGTTCCCCAAATAGTTAATAAAACAGTGAATGTCTGAATTGAGCAGAGAAATACAGAGCCACGAGGCTCCCTCAACTGTCCTGATATCAGGGCGTTAACTGAGAAGGTTCGCGAGAGACTTGGAGCTACAAGCCCCCTCAATGAGTCGCCATATCATTGAGGTGGGGTAGTCCAAACCCCCAAGCCATTACTGCACTATAAGGCCTTTATTCTAGAGTCTTTCTATCCTTGGAACCATGGATTCCTGCCCCAAGACAGTAGTCGACCCATATTTGCTTAGCCAGAGCCTCGTTAACGCCCTGGTAACACTGTTGCCCAGCGACCAACGCTTGGAGGAGAGGTTGACTAATGCTGTGGGGGCTGACAGGGGGTTGCAATACCTCCCCCATAAGTTTCAACGCCAAAATAGTTAATGATCACACTCGACATAGGAGTGCAAAGGGTTGATTCAACGAATAGCACTTTTCGTCGCATACAAAGCATAAATGGAAGCGATAAATGGAAGAAAGCGAGTTTAAAGCAGAGGCTTTGATGTGGATCCTAGGATTTCTTACTTTATCCACATACAATCCCTATCCTTGCTCAGCATAATAGATAAAGGATACGTGAGTGATAGTGAAATGAGAAGAAAATACGTCTACTCGGTTTGGGTATCGTAATTTCAGCGAATCTTCGATGAACATAGCTGTCGAACATGAGCTCCTGATTGCGGATGTATCGAAAACGATTCGACCTTCCCCCGATTCTGATATCTCAACCCCTCCCTCCCCTCCTCCAAAACTTGTAATACATGTATTTCTTTCACGGGTAAAATTGTACAAGGTGTACTTTCTAAATACTCAGGAAGCTTAATAACAATGGCGCCTGATGATGACTCAATTAAAAGAAGACCCCTTTACGCGGCAGAGATTTTTAGGTTTGACCGGATCGCTATATTACAGCAAATAAAATCGTTTAATGGGTCGTGTTTAAGGGAGGATAGTTCATACACGATGCAGAAAATGACATGGGGGCATAGCTGGCACGAACAGAAGCGCATTTGGTGCCATATTACATGCGCAGTGTAAACAACTCCGTTACATCGGTGTAGCAGGAGAATAAAGCAGTCGAAGAGGTTCGAAGGCGGGAAACGTTGTGAATCAGAAGCACATGCCAACGCGAAACGGATCACGGATCCCGCTCAAGGGACAACACCGCTGTAAAATCCTCGAATTAAGCGTTCAATTCATTCTGGTAGTTCTCCAAGACTGTTCCTTTAATTTTGTTAGTAATTTCCTTTATTTGGGACCTTGAAGTCCTCAACTTGCTCTTTAGCCAAAGGTCTAGGTCAGGTCTAGGTTGGGTCTTCCCCCTTTCCCTTTAATCAATCTATTTCTTCAATTATTTTAATCATCCATCAGTCTTCTTTCTCCCTGCCTTTCCATCCAATATTTCCTCCATTGCTCTTAGTACTGACAGTGAATCTGTAAGGATTGCAATGTATTTTTATTTTCATTTCTATCCTAAAAAGTCTCTAGTGCCTTAGATATTGATAATGATGATTATCATTAGATCAGATTATTTCTTTAATATTGTTAGTAACTTCCTCTGTTTGGGACCTTCAAATCCCTCTATACTTGCTCTTTAACCAAAGGTCTATGTTAGGTCTGAGTTAGGTCTTCCCCCTTTCCCTTTAATCAATCTATTTTTCCAATTATTTTAATCACCTCATTAGTCTTCTTTCTCCCTGCCTTTCCATCTAATATTTCCTCTATTGCTCTTAATACTGACAGTGAATCTGTAAGGATTGCAATGTATCTTTTATTTTCATTTCTATCTTAAAATAGAATCTATCTCTAGTGCCTTCCAAATTGATAATGATTAGACTGCGGATGTTTATGCATTTATGGGAAATTTTAATTCTCAAAAAACTACAGAATGCACTTACCACGCAAGAATATAAGAAATACTTAAAGTAAGGTAGAAATTATTATATCTAGGGATTGAGACAACCCTCTACAAAGCTCCAATTTCAATAATTTTATTAACAAAAATATGAATTTGCATGACGATCCGCAGTCTAATAATGGTTATCATTAGACCAGATTATGTCTCTAATATTGTTAGTAACTCCCTCTATTGGGACCTTGAAGTCCTCATCTATCTCCCTCTCTATTTACTCTTTAACCAAAGGTCTAGGTTAGGTCTTTCCCCCTTTCCCTTTAATCAATCTATTTTTCCAATTATTTTAATCACCTCATTAGTCTTCTTTCTCCCTGCCTTTCCATCTAATATTTCCTTTATCGCTCTTAATACTTCCACTGAATCTCTTAAAATTGCAATATATTCTTTATTTTCATTTCTATCCCAAAAAGTCTCTACTGCCTTCCAAATTCATAATGATGATTATGATTATGATTATGATATTTCAGATTCATATCTTTCACATGTCCCAAGGTAGGAAAGCAGAATGCCAAGGAGCTTCCGGTTATAGAGTGGTCGACATATTTTCATCCAAGTGCAGCATCTCACCATGGCAACACCCTAACCTCCATTACCAATTTCGTCTTACGAGTATAAACTGTAAAAACGTCGTTTGCCTTTGATTCCTCCAATCGACTTCCTTTACAGTTTGGTTATATTTGGATAAACTTGGTTTATTTTGAAACAGTCGATTTCGGATACTTCTCGAGCCCTGTATCGAGCCCTGTATCGATACTTGGAAGAAACAAGAACTTTAAGGGATGAATCTACTTTGCATACACGCATGCTATCCTGATCGAAGATGTTTCGTATTACACGTGGTTGTAAGCTCTAAATACCCCCCCGGATAAAATCGTATCGTTCGAGCGGGCTGTTTCGGGGTGAATGTACACGAACGAAATATCCCTTCATAATTTCATGTAAAATTAGCATATTAATAAGAAAGACGGGGACAGCGGTCAGGATAACAGGACGAATTCGCAGGAGGATCACCCGGCCGCGGTTCCTTCTTCCACTTCCAAGGAATCCTTTCCAACTCTTTCGTCTCTCTGCGTTCCTAATAATCGAGTCTCCGCATTTAGAACTCAATGGAGCGAATCTAATTGCAGTTATTAGGATAATGTTGGGAGCGAACGAGAGTGGACCGTAGTCCGTGCGCAGAGTTTTTTCGTCGAATTAATATAGGGAGGATCAAAGAATTACGGGGTGAAAGTGTGTCGGGGGAATACAACACGGAGGCGACGAGGAGATAATTAGCGGAGGGCGAGTATTATTTTAGAGACAGGAGTCTGAAAAAGGAAGCTCCCCTGGAGCAACCTAACCTCCAGGTACAGCAGCGCCAAAGTTGCGCTGGTGAGCCACGATGGCGGGAGATGAACGTTACGCCCGGGCGAATAAGAAGCCAGGACGCGGGAGAAAGCGGCGAATAAGAAACGAGAACGCGGGAGAAAGCACGGAACGGGACTCGCCGCGATTGGTCCAGCAGGGGGAAAGAAAACGCGGGGCAAAGAGCACGAGAAAAGCTCGTTTGGGTAGAAAAGCAATGGAGAAATGTAGGAAAGTACAGTAGAAGGGACCACAAATAGGTTAAATAGAAAGAACAAAGCTCGTCGGTGTTTCTTTATGTATGTAGGGAAACTTTTAGAAGACTTCCTCCCACCTTTCCATGACCAATTTCCCCAGGTACAAAAAAAGAAAAAGATTATCGCGAGATCGTGTTCAAGTTGCTAGAAGAGCAAGAAGGAAAGGTTCACACTAGCATTCTTTATCAATTTCCCGAAGTTGCATCCCCACCACTCCGTTAGACGCTAAGGAAATTCGTCGTTGCTAATGTCGACGTCGATGCATTCAATTATGCCAGATCTGGCCACACTACGTGCGATAAAGCTTCGTAACTAATGTTGAATATAGACGGAATTACTAATCTTGTCCTGTCGGTCGAACGGATCTATAGATTATAAGCGTTCGTTTTCGTGGGCTTAATTTGTATGATAATTGGTGGATCGAATTCATTGCGATTAAAAACAAATCCACCCGTCACAATGGCTACCTGTAAGTTGTGCTTGTATTTACACTTATGTTTGTAGTTTTCGTGTTTTTTTTTCTGACGTGAAATTTACAATATAAAATTGTCTACAGAAATGTTACGTTTCATTTGATGAACGTTCAATTTTGACACAATTGTTGTTCCATCATTTTCAGATGTTACAAACAATTTATAATACATTCGGCAATATAGGATGATATCTATTTAAACTTACTATTATTTTATTACTTTGTTGCCAATTGGTTTCAATATAACGTTACTATAATATCGGTTTTCCATATTTCCACATTTATTTATCAAAACAATGATAATCTGTATCTACTATTTATAATATAATTTAAGATATTTATCAGTATTAAAAGTAGACAAAAATTAGTCAAATCTATTAAACCAATTGATGACTATAAAATTTTGAATAATTTTATCCAAAAATATATCGGTAATAACTCATAGTCATAGAAGAAGAACTTGTATATTACATTCTTGTTTGAATGAAGTTATAAATATCATATTTCTTTTTTTCCTAGCATCCGGTGCTTTAACAGTGGAAGTCTTGCCCAAATTACGTACAAGTTTTTACAATGATCCGAATAACTGCTTAGCACAAAATATATGTACAAGGATCAATCCCATAGAAGCTTGTATTTCACGAAAAGTATTGGAAGAGAGTCAACACGTCTTCACCCATAAGATCGAAACAGAGGGGAAGCCCATAACGAATCAGAAACGTTCCGGGCGGTGTTGGATATTTTCTATCTTAAACGTTATCAGAACTGCCTTTATCAAGCAATACAATTTGGACGAATTTGAATTTAGTCAAGCTTATTTATTTTTCTGGGATAAAGTTAATATATATTGCCAATATTTTATAAACAAAGCTTAACCATTTTGTGTCGATTGATATGTTGATTGTTTTGTAGGTTGAACGGTGCAACTATTTTTTACATAATATTGTAAAAAGCGCGGAACGGAAGGAACCGGTGGATGGTCGCTTGGTATCGTTTCTGTTACACGACCCGGTTTGCGACGGCGGACAATGGGACATGATCGTTAATCTTATAAATAAATATGGTCTCGTCCCGAAAGTCTGCTTCCCAGAATCGTACAGTTGCGAATCTAGTTCCCGCATGAACAGTATATTGAAAAGTAAACTGAGAGAATACTCTAGCGATTTAAGGGACTTGGTAGCAAAGAATGCGTCCGACGAAGAGTTAGAATCTCAGATCAGGGAACAAATGGTAGTAATTTATCGAATTATTGGAATCTGTTTGGGCATACCTTCGGAGACTATCACGTGGGAATATTACGATAAATCGAAGAATTACAATTGTATCGGTCCAATCACACCTGTCGAATTCTACGAGAAACATGTAAAACCATATTATAATGTAAATGATAAAGTATGCTTGGTAACAGATCCGAGAGAATCCCATCCATATAGTAAACTTTATACGATAGATTGTTTAGGGAATGTAGTGGGTGGAAGACTGACGTTGTACAATAACCAACCAGCCGCGGTGTTAATGGAATTATGCGCGGAGAGTATAAAACAAAACGAGCCCGTGTGGTTTGGATGCGACGTAAGCAAAAGATTAATAGGCAAACAAGGTATAGAGGATATGAACGCTTATAATTTTGGTCTGATGTTTGGAACGAATGTACATGTTAATCTTTCGAAAGGAGATAGATTACTTTACGGAGATTCTATGATGGTCCACGCGATGGTATTCACGGCTGTTTCGATCGATGTAAGCTGACAAGTTCTACGAAAGAATCTCGGTGCTCGAGATGTATTGAAATCCCTTTTTATTTTCAGAAGGATGGCAACATTAAAAAATTCCGGGTGGAAAATTCTTGGGGGGAAGATCATGGACAGAAAGGATATCAATTGTTGACCGCTGAATGGTTTTCTGAATTCGTGTTCGAGGCAGTTATCGATAAAAAATTAGTACCCGCGGATATTTTGTCTGTATTTAAACAAGAACCCATTACCTTGCCCGCGTGGGATCCGATGGGTACCCTTGCTCACTGATAATAGGCTGCAACCTTAAACATTCGAAGATGAAGATTTTTGATGAGTAACATATGTATAAAACACTGAGGATATGAACATAAAATAAAATTTCAAGCATTCTGGTACTACAAAGTACAAAATATTAAGTATTTTATATAAAATCCTGTCACAATTCACATACGTACATTATATATAAAAAAATAATAAAATTTGTTTGATAAACGTGCATTTATCTTCGATACATAAATTTCAAATTACAAAATCACCAGACTGTGTCATTAAATTATAGCACTGTGTGTGTGTATTATTCGTTTATTTTATTAATGGCCAAGAACCCTTGTGTCAATGCTTTTTTGAAAAGTCGTAGACATTTTTCTAAGGATGTCGTATCGCAAGTAGCTGGAACCATAAATGTCATAGACGTTGGTTCAAGCTACGATACTACGACAAATGTCTACGATTCCGAGTATCGTAGACGTATAATTTTGTCATCGATGCTTCGTGAACCTAATTAATATCAATCATTTTTCTACGCACCTTTTCTTGTAATTGATTTAGTAATAAACGATCACTGGAAGCGACATTTATTTAAATCGTCGCATTAAACGTTCCGCAATACTTGGCGCCATCTACAAAGGCGGGATTCTAAATGGCGCCATCTACGAAGGCGGGATTCCAAATGGCGCCAAATATTTCTGAACGTTTAACGCGATGATTTAAATAACTGTCGCTTCCAGTGATCGTTTATTACTAATTAATTGCACGAAGAAATGTTAATAAAATAGTTAATGTTACTAAAATTAATTACGTGACAAAATATTTGGCGCCATCTATTAACGCGGGATTCTAAATGGCGCCAAGAATGTGTTTCCGGTTCAGGGATGTTCAATCCGATGATTTTGCAGTTGATAATTATGTGTATATACTTTTGTACGAGTCTATGACTTTTCAAACACCGACTAAATCGTTGTTTAATAGAAAGTCAATAGTATTCGTCTAAACTTAACGTGTAATCGGAAGTAATAGTACATTTGTCAATTTTCTCTGGCTGATGGCCCCAACACATGACATTCTTTATGGAGTTTAATTAGGCTAAACTTTTACACGAGACGATAAATACATAGATATTTAAAAGAAATTCGATTTGCTGCTTACACAGCACAATACATTTCTTGTTAGTTTAGTAAATATCTCATTTGGTTCAATAACTTATAACATATGGTATTTTGACTCTTTGATTGTAATATACAATACTAATACTGTTGAGTATTTTTTCAAAGAAGGGTTTGTTTTATAATTATTTCCCATATTTTATTGCACTTTCCCAAAAAGAGTACATTTCTTAACATATTATTCAATCGTGAATTGAAAATGTTATTACAAATTACAGATACCTGGAATGTCAAAATTAAAATAATAAAAAAAACATGCGATTATGCGATTCTATACGTATCACTGGTTTGAAAACCAATTCTTATTGCTATCATGGGAAAGAAACAGTAATACACAATGTCATACGACAAACATAGTATCTAGCCTCTCGAGGCCAAAAATCCTTATTAATTAGTCTCATTATGATTAAAAACAATTCGACTTATTTCTAATTTGTCAAAGTATTCCCATTAGTTATGTTTTTACGTCTTCCTAGGCTCTGTTTTAACATTCTAATATGTCTAAAAGTAATAACAAATTAAGCATTGAAGAGGCCTTAAACGCAACTCGATTTCGAGGCCTATTAAAACAAACTTTGAGTAACATTTTTCGCAGGATATTCTCTGTTCATTTTAAGGCCTTTACAATACTAACTGTCAGGTGATTGACCGCTATCTAGGAAAGATACCACTTAGTTACTTATACATCTTTGAAGGAACGACATTGTATATTGAGCATTCATTTAATTCTACTATGCACCATGATGTAAAATTGAAGTATTAAGCACAATATTACCGTATCGAGTGAAATAGAGAAAGCATAGAATGGAACGCGTTAGGAAATAATTTGCTAAACAATTCCTACTTAAAACAAAGCTGATATTCGGATACGAATAATGTTCAAATTTGTGTACAAGTTTTAGTCTTTACACGTATAATAAATGTTTTTAATAATCTCTCCAAGTAAAAAAGTATACATTTGAAGATTATAATCAATGCTACGAGAATAAGAAGTATGCAAATACACCTTTCTTAACACATTATCTTTTTTACATTTAAAAGTTTCATCGATAATACAAACTTTTTGGAATATCTAATTCTTTTATACAAATTGTATAAGTTAAAGAAAAACAAAAGAAATGATATGACGAATCTATTCTATGCAAATAAACGTGATTTAATAAAGATATTCCGTTGAAAACAGTGCGTTGCAAGTATTTATTGAAACAAATACTCGAGACTATTAATGAAACAAGTATCTTCTTCCAAATATTTAAATATTTTCAACGTGATGTAGAAATATATAGTGATTATGTGTTGATTTGAAAAAATTATAGTTTGCTATGAGATTTTGTTGATTTTTTTAAAGGTTATGTCATTTGTGTTATTATTTTTATATTATAGATTTTCAAGGTTAGTTAGCGATCTATAAAACGAGTAACTTTTTTCTTTTCTATTAGCCATAAAAACAGTGTTCATTTCTATTTGAAAGATTTTTAACAGTGAGAGTCTTTTACAAAATATCGGTAATTTATCCCCAAGTCAATTGTGAATTATACATTTGTTTGTAATCGAAGAATTGATGCTGATATTAGAATCAGTTTAAAAATTCTAATTCTAATTACGCACATTCATAGACGAAAGAAAATTACAAACACACAAAGTTCGTTTGTCTTTCGGATACTTATCTATGTAGAAAAGATACATTCATATCGGATTTTCACGACGATTCTTTGTTTAGTAGATCGCTAAATAAAAGTCGTGTATCGTAAATCGTGATAGAATACTGAAATAGAATAATTAAATAGAGGACCTCAGCATCAGAATTACAATTCCGATTAAATCTTTCGTACGTTAATAGCGATCAAGCTAAAATCTTTTCGAGGGAACGTATTGCTTTGTTACTTGGGTATTTTACGAATTGAAATACTCAAGTTTTTAATCTGTTGATTCAAACAACGATACGAGATACTTAACGTATAAAAATAATACAATTTTTCTTCTATAGTTATAAAAACTATTAAAAATTGCAAAGTTATTTATCGTAGAATGTTGAACATAGTATTTAATAAATCGTATTCTATTCTGTAGTGCAACTTACAGGAATGATTAAGTTTTGTACCGAATTATTGAGCCACTTTTTATACAGTAATTCCAACTTTTAAATACAAAATCGGTACTGGTTTATGCGAAAATGGAGTCTGTAATGATTTTTATGTAAAGTTAAAACCGAGTCAAGTCAAAAAAAACAAATAAGATTCATCGAGACCGAGATAAATGAGATTGGTTAAATTTTTATATTTTTCATTATATTCTTATGAAAATATTATCATTGGATCGGTGAAATTTTCCAAATAAATGTCTAAACACATTCAAAGTATTTCGATTTACACATAATTAAAAATAATTCGAATAGGGTGATTTCGATCGGAAAAAACTTGATCGATTTATTGGTAATTCTGTTATAAATATACTTGGTAAAAATTTTAACGAGGGATTCTGGAGGCCAAAATAAGACGAAAATCAAGAATACCAATTTGTTGATGAAGGCTTCCTTAAAAAGTTATTAACAATTAAATTCAAAAATTTCAAATCGTTCTGGAAAAATTATTTTCGGTTACGGGGGACAATTGCAATCATTTTTTGTTATTACACATACCCCCGAAATCCTACGCACTTTCGAGAAAAAAATTCTTAACCGAAAATCTAATTAGGTGCCATTTTTCGACGAAAAAAAAAATGTCAAATCGTTCTGGAAAAATTATTTTCTATTGCAAGGGTTAATTACAATCATTTTTGGTGAGTAGACATACCCCCGAAATCCTACGCACTTTGGAGAAAAAAATTCCTTACTGAAAATCTAATTAGGTGCCATTTTCAACGAAAAAAAAAATGTCAAATCGTTCTGGAAAAATTATTTTCTATTGCAGGGGTTAATTGCAATCATTTTTGGTGAGTAGACATACCCTCGAAATCTTGCGCATTTTCGAGAAAAAAAATTCAGAATGGGCGTAACTTAGAACATTAATAACTTTTTAACGAAGCCTCCATCAACAAATTGGTATTCTTGATTTTCGTCTTATTTTGGCCTCCAGAATCCCCCATTAAAATGTTTCCCATCTGGCGTGCACTATGGCAGAGATAAACGGCGATAGGAGGGGTTGATTTAATTACTCGAATCAGATATAAAAAAAAATTGTTACTTCAAAGTAGGAATTACTGTATATTGTAATATTTAACGACGATTCAAATATCAATAATCGAATGGCAGAGTGTAAATATTTTCTAAAGTCGTTTCTCGTTACTAGAAAGATAATTAGCGAATAACACGTCGACATGAGAATATTTTTACAAATGTTTCGTACACACATGAAATTGGTTTTTTTTTTTTTATACTAGTATTATAATATTATACGGTATAAATATTTGCTTACAATTATTTCGATTGTGTATTGTTACTGTATGGTTTTTTTTTTTTTGTCCTTTTGCACAAGGTATTATAGAGGATATAATGGTACTTAAAAAGTCCGATAGAATTTGTCCCTGCTGCTAAAGCTACAACAATAATAAAGAATGTTGACTGCGTTCCAACTACTGTAACTACCTACTGTTACAACATTATATCTGTAACATTAGCACCATATCTGTATTGTTTTGTAGATGAGTCACGCAATAAATGGCTTAATGAAATTAACTAAAGTTTGCTCCTTACGTTTGAAAACACTTGTAGTCGCGTTATTAAAACAGCACGTTGTGCGAAACTTTGTATGAGTACATGAAAAACAAAATTCCGATGTATCGATAGCAGATAAAAAATTAGTGAATACGGAAGTCGAATGTATACCGTAAAAAAAAAGAAAATGATTTCTAACGAACATTGAATACTTTTTGTGTTTGTAGAACAAAACTGTGTAACTACTATTAAAATAATTAAAAATATACATACAAGTTATTTCCGGCGTTTATATGAAATAAAAAATATTCAATGAAATACTTGAGCATAAAATTAGTTAAAAAATATTCGAAGCTTTTTTACAAACAAAGTACTCGTAGTCGATATCTCGCAGCAGATAATAAACTATAACAATAAACAGTATAATGTATTGCAATGTTTATGCATTCAGCAGTCACATATAACAAGTATTACTATTGAGAAGAATAGAACGAATAATCGAATTACAAAGCATCAAGCGAAGAAACACTTTTTGTTATTCAAAAGAATTGTTTGAAAATTAAAGTTTAACAAATTTATTGCCCGGACAAACACGTTCGTTGTTTTTTTTAGAAACTGAACGTTCGAGTTGTTTATTTTTTTAATAATTACGTAAGAAACGTTGTTCGTTAGATCGATATTAAGTAGTTGAACGAATATCTGGGAATGTTTTATGTTTTTATTAACATTAAATAATCAACAAATCAAAATGTGTCATTTTATCGTTTGAAAGAAAAAAATTTAAAACAAATTATATGGGCAAATATGATATTATTAAAAATAGGAATTCGCACTAAATCTTATTGTATATGTATAGATCGATACATACGTATGCACGTATAATACTCAATTATTCATTTTGCTAAAATTCAATTATATCAAACGACGATCGTTCTAAAATTGTTTACAGTCTATTGGATGATAAACTTCTTTTATAAAATTCGTGTTTCTTTGATATTTTGTCAGTGATTTTGAGAGCTTTCCAGTATCTGGTACACTGCATTGTTAAACACAATAGAATGATATTTATATACAGAGCCGTGTCTAAGTATTTTGGCGGACGGGGCAATGATAATATATCGTTCTCTTTGCCTGTTGGTTTTCGAGTACTTGGATCCACATACACTACCACCTTTGTCTGATCAATTGTTGAGATGTGCATTTGACAATAAGAATTTGATTAGTATTTTTAAGAAGTTAATAGCATATGTAACTTTAGGGTTTCCATGACAAGAAAAACATGATTAGACTAAGTGTTGATTAGATAAACACTTTTGGCCGATAGTGAAATGTAAAAATAGTTGCTATACTTTTAAAGACGTCTGTTGCAAAGGTCACGGTCCTGTTTATACATGTATCATTCGTTCAGGATTGAAAGTATCGAAGCAATTGATATGAAAGAATGGCGAAACTGAACATTGAAAACAGTTGTGGTAAAAATTAGTGCCTTCTGTCCATTTGATCTAAGAGATGCTGGTTTAAAGATTGAGAGAACATATAGTGCAAGTCTGAGCAATACAATGCGCGTGGAGGTGCGACTGATGTGTCGAGGATGTTGGTGGCGGTGGTGGTGGAGGTGGTGGCATATAGAGCCATCCGGCACCGGTCCGCCAGACGGTACCTGATGCAGAGGATACCGGATGCAGCGGATTGACATTATTTCCGGTCGTTACGTGCGAAGTTGGCCCACCCTCTACTCACATTACCTGAAACACAAAAAGAGAAATTGAATGAAATTTACTGAAAAAGCTAAGAAACTTTATGTTCTAAAATAAAATAAAAAGTGTCTCAGTAGTGTCTTTCATAGGTAAACTATTAATATCTATTCTGAACAATAAAATAAGACAGATGACCAACAGGACCATGCAAACACCACTCAGTCACATCGCAAACATTACTTGCACCCTTCCTGAGTCACACCCCTTGACCATCATCCTTATCTCTACCTATTTCCAGCAATAGTATTATAAAAGCTTGCAATACCAAAGAATGGTCAGAGTCTAGTACTTGGATGACCCGATACAAGTTGTACGAGTCTCTTAAGACTTAAAAGTGTTGTCAATTCTACTGGAATCCATATATTATCCAAGTTAATATAATCAGAAAGGCTATCTTTGACAATCAGTAGTATCAGTGCATAAAAAATGATGTCATTGATGACCTTTGTGGTTTATTACTTGCATCGGTCATGGATTTAACTAATTGTTTCGTTATTTCAGGTCAGCCGATGCAACAAAGTGGAGGCAGTTGATTACAAATGTGATAGGTCGTATGTGATTTACCTGCAAGATTTGACTGGCCTCAAATGCTGTTCCAGGTAATAATATGACCGGGCTGCTAACATGTCCGCTTTCCACGCATATCATGTTTGGGAATTCATCGTCACCGAAGTCGGGTATGTCGCGTGCCTTCTCCTGCCAGGGATTCCAAACCACGGTGTCGGGGAAATTGTACTTTTGAACTCGCATTTTCCTACCGGATACGACGTTAGTGATAATATGTTCCGGTTGCGTGTTCTGGTAAATTCTATCCGTCCACTCGCACACCGTCACTACGTCGCGACCCTCTTGAAAGATTTGGTTGTCCCTCGTCTGCAACAATAATCAGTCTTTCACATTCTAAATGTTTACTCTGCAATATATATACACGTAATAGTACAAATTATTTGTTAATAATTTATCAAACCACTGGATCAAACAAGACACTTTTTCAAGAAATATGCATATGTATTGTAGTATTAATCGCTTTATATCTTTCAATCGATAAGTAGATTAAAAAGTGCTTTTGAATGTTTGCATTGGGACAAAATTTACTTGGTTTAAAGAGATAAATATTTGTTGGCTATCTTTCGGTCATTACATAAGAAAAAACAGACCAAATATTTATGAGATTAAATTGAAAACATGAAAGCTTTAGCTGGAGGAAAAAAAAATAAAATAAAAAAGTTATTAATAATTAAATTAAAAAATTTCAAATCGTTTTGAAAAAATTATTTTTGGTTGCTGGGGTCCATTGCAATCATTTTTGGTGAATACACATACCCTCGAATTCCCACCTATTTACGAGAAAAAAGTTCGGGTAGGTTTACATAATAAATAAAATATATTTGTGCATTGAAAAATAATTAAAAAAAAAAAGTGACTTGTTGGGGAATCGAACCCACTGCCAGAAGCATCGTAGCTAATCGCTTTACCGACTTGACCAAATCTTGTTCCGTGAAATAAATATAAGTAATTTTTTAAAGGAACTAATTATTGGATTTAGTGAATAAATAGTATACCTTGTCGATGAAAGTGCATCCGTGAAGACCTGTGATTTGACATCTCCTAACGTCCGGTACTTTGAAGTAGGTGTGTAACAGCAAATTAAAGCTAAACGTGTGATCTTTACTGGGATTGTACACGCCTATATTAAAATGTAGCTCCTTTTCTCGGAGTATTAGTCTGTACGTTAACCTAAATGGATAGTTCCACATCGAGCGGGTGAATTCGCTGTCCATTATAGAGAATATTGCCTCGACGTCACCGCTGGGCAATCGTTCGGGTGATTTTTCTACGTTCCAGCGAATAATTCTTGCAAAACCATGAGGTGGCCCAAACGTCCATGCTCCAAATTGCGCTGGGTGTAATAAAAGCAAAGGATAATTACTATTTCGTGTGTCGTTAAAGCGCCAACGGAAACGTTACGTCCAAGAGAAACTTCTCTACGCTTTTAAACGTTTAACGTGAATATTTCAAACATGTTATAATATTTAACGATGAAAAAAAAGGTCTACCGGCACGATTTTTGGAAATATTTTCAATAAAAATCGAAGAATGTCTTTTCTTTCAAGTAAAATATTTTTAAATTTCAGCTGGTTTCTTAAGTTGTTGTAGCAATTATTCTAATAGACTGTTTTGTTTCGTCTCGTATACTTACGAAAGACAAATGGAATGCCTCCTCTAATAGCTTTCTTCCCATCGAATACAGCTTGCTTACTGAAACGCAGAAAAGATTGGTCGTTGGTTAAAGAATAAAAGAAAGACGGTAAAAAGTATTGTAATTATTTATACGTAAAATTTGTCTACGATAAAATACGATTCGTACAAAAATAATATTTAAATATCGCTGGGGCTTGGGAATTTTATTAATTTTAAATACACTATACATACAAACATGCAAGTAGAAGATACATATATTTATTTGGAAACATATTTAATATACATATCTTAAAGCGTATTGCTAATACATAAAATAGTAAACATATCGAACGTAGCGTTTATTAGAACAATAACAACAGAATAAGTATCCTTGACATCGATAATGGCTCGAATTTTTCTGGCCAATGCTTTCGAAATATTTCTTTGGACATTTCAAGACTAATTTCGTTCCATTTTGTTTTAGTTGGTTCGTGCGACCATTCCAGGACATTATTTATTTCTGCCCATGGCGAAACATCCCCTACAAATTAGTCTGGAGTTTAGGTAACCTCGTAATCGTCTTAAAACGTTTACGTAGGATTCGTTTCCATAAAATCTAGCGCCAAGAGAGTCGTCGATGGACAGAACAAGCGTGGCGTTAATCGAGAAAGTTCTACGACGGTCACCGATCAACTCGACAATGGCGGCGAACGCGCTAAACAGTCCGATTTTTGTTCGCGGCTGAAACCAGACGGGCGATACATTTGCACAGGATATCGTGGTATCCTCGAAAATCAAGCGATCTAATCTATTTTCCTGGTACGCGTAAACTGTAGAAGGCGGAGGTAATCTGATCCGTTTGCACGATCTTTCGAGGCGAATGGTATATAGATCGCGAAGAGGAAAAGGCCGGAAGGGAGAACGAGAGGAGAGCGCGAGATGAATGGCGGTAGAGGGAGCAGGAGAGAAGACAGGGAGCGATGTACCACCACGAAGTACAACGCGGTGGTAGGAACGCGGCTGACGCCAAGCAAAAACGATCGCCGCTGTCTGCCGTGCTTTTTGCGGGCATCACAGTTTCCAACCTCTCCTCCTCGTCGTTTCTAGCTGCTGTTATCCCCCGTTGCTACTACTGCTGCTGCTACCGCCGCTGTTGCTGCCGTTGCTGGTGCTGCTCCACGCGAACGACACCCATTTTCAAACGCGGTTACGCCCGGTATTCCGCACAATATTCACCGGGATCGAGTAAATCGAGTAAATCGAGAAAATCATTACGAAAACACCGTTCTTCCAGCACGATATCTTCCTAATCGAACGTTACCAAATCTTTAACACGTTCACTGCCAGATCAAAACCCGTATAATCCGCGGAAGTAAAATTTTGATCGTAGACCATTGTACGCTACATAACCTACAATTTGTTTCGGTACTGATTTTCGTAACCTTGTTAAAATTCACAAATTCTATTCAAATTCATTTCCCTCGACGTCTTCACTTGAGAATTAATTTTTCTAGTGTCATAATGGTAAATCTTGTCAGCCATATGTGGGCGACGTTCACTGTCGGATCAAAACCGTTTACAACTTTCGTTTAAAACCATTCTAGACTACATAACCTAAAATTTGTTTCGATACTTATTTTCATGACTCTCTCAACGTCTTAACTTGAGAATGAATTTTTCTCTAGTTCCATAATGGAAAATCCTGACATCCATGGCAGTCAAAGTGTTAATTTACAGTATACACATCGTAGAACAAAATTATTTCCGGTTATATATCGTTAAAAAATACACGAAAAATAATAGCAGGGGGATCGAACTTTCTATTATTTACGTGCATACTAAATTATTATTATTACTATTTTTAACAGAACCGCTTTTTCGACGACTTTGTTTACGAATATACTCGATAAAAACGTTGCATTTCGCTCGAGACGGTTCGACAAGATGGCGGTCGTATCTCGTAAGCTGATCGTTTCAAAACAGCTTCGTAAGTTGGTCGTTAGACGAAAATCGATGGATGTAATTTAACGAGAACATCGATAGCGAATTTTGGCAGACTTTGAAAGTTATTTTCGATCGCGGTGTCCAAACTTAATAGAGTAGGCTTAGATAGGGGGGAAAAAGTATGTCGAGCGTCGTTGTTAATGAACCAAAACGTGTACAAGAAACGGCAAAAGGTCCAGGAGGATCGATACACGTGTCACGGAGTCGCAAGTATTTGTTCGATTTGCAAATAATGAGAATTGGATAAAGAAAACCATACGAGCCTGTTGAATATTGCAATGTCGAAAAGAAAATAAGTCCAGAAAATTGGACGAACTATATGCTGGCGTAGAAGAAGAATGGAGAGTAATATTACGACCGAACGATGTCGTTTAATTGATTCAATGTCAAGGCGGTGCGAACAAGTTATAGGGCAGAAGGAAGCGTAACGTGATATTAACTATTTCTCTCAATTAATGTTCTTTGTTGCATTCATACTTGGTTGCAACGAAAAAATTAAAAATATTCGTTACTTTTAAGCATTAAAATTATAACACTATCGAGTACAATATACATTCGAGTTTAATACATTAAATATACCCCATGTTTTTTTAAGGAAATATTGCCACGATATTTGAAATAATTTATTCCCCGTTTATTCAACTTCAGAACTTAACGCGTTAAATAAAAAAGAAAATTATTTCGATAAAAATTGACCGTATCGAATGTAACGAATCTACCTTGGAATTGAAAAAACGACAAGTTGTTTATAGATATTTGCACTAAATTGCAGATGCCGTGGAACGTTCGCCTCGCGAATCTCGATGTGCCAGTACTTGGTTTCTAGCTTGGTGGAACTTTGTTTAACTAAGGCAAGCAAGAAGTAAACCTATTTACACTGGGGTGGTGGCTGCGCCATGACTACGTCTACTCGTTGAAGCTGCCCTTACCCCGGAACGATCGTGTGAAACTCTGACCAAACTACGATCCTAACAGCTGCTGATAAACGAGAGAATATTCCGCGGTGAAAAAAAGCAAATTCTGTACCGAAATTTTACCTTCGACCTTCGACCTCCTTGTAAATCGAATTTGTATCGCGATCAGGCGGACACTGTAACGACTAAAATCTTCCAGTTTGCCGCGACACCGTTCGTGTCGAGGATGTATTATTATGGTTTATTGCGAAATCGCGATGCCGAGCTATTTAGCGGCTTTCTGTGTCTTACGGTGCATAATAAGTCCACCTAAGTGGACGTGTGGGCTGTAAACGAGCGAATTCTTCGCGAACGATAACGTTGCATTCCTTATCATTCTCCGTGGCGGGATTTAAAATCTTGTCGCGGTAACTGACCCGGACGGTCCGAACGTTTGCTAAATTCGATCATTTTCACGAACGCGTCAACGCGGAAATTCGAACAACGATGTGTGCACAATTATTTTTCAACGAACTCTCTAATCGTTTGTATTATTCACCGAGTTATTTAAATTCTCCGATAATGAAATAAAATCGAAGAAGATTCGAATATAAATACTACAGATTGAGGCGATTGGCGAATCGTTGGCTCGGCGAGTTCGAAATTTCCCCCCATCAAAATGGCCGCCTATAACAGACCGCCCGAAATAAAAAGATGGAAACTCGGAAACTCGAGGCTAACGATCGAGGGTAAAGTGCCTGCAGGGCATGTATATCGAAAAATTGAAAATTCCTACTAATCAAGGCACTTTACCCTTCGCGATCGACAGTTTAAGGGAATACAAATATCATAGCCCTATTCATAGCGAACGAAACCCTAAGAACGAGGAGAGAGGCTTTCTTACCGATTTTGTTTAAACTTTGCACGCTTGTAGATTTAATTATCTAGTTTCAGAATATATAACAATTACAGAGACGAATACTTAAAGTTTCATTATAATCTACAAATACAATTTTAATGTATCAACGGACATTACTACCATTTGCTGGAATTTCTTGCCCTGTAACGACTATTTAATTTATATTGTTTTTACAAGTTTCATTTGTTGTACCGGAACAATAATTGTAAGTTTTCTATATTTTTGTCTTCATTTGCGAGGTGTGGTTCATCAGACAATACTTCCTTCTTTGTTTTCCCAACTACTGTGGACGAAGGAATTTCTCACCCGATTTATCAATACCAAATCTTTACATTTTTATATTATATACATTTTAATAAACACAAGGGATACATTATTTAAACGTTAATTAGGATTTTTATCGATAAATTTCATTATTCAAATTTATTATATTAAGAGAAAAAAACCCTTTAAGTTGCCTGGGAATCGAACTTGGACCTACTTTGTAGGAATTCCTCGCTTTACCATTACCCCCATGGTGATAATTGTAAGTTGATAAATTAAAATTATATTTGTACATAATAATGAAACTTTGATCATCGATATTTCAAAAATTATCGACTATCTGCCTCTGTAATATCATATATTCTTAAACCGGATAATTAAGTCACGAAGGCTTTGCCCTCTCCTTGTAAATAATGTTATGCACACATCATGATACGGTTGCTACTGGGAATTTTCAATGAAGTGTTAATAAATTATAAAAAGAGAGAGAGAAACTTTACATCGACTTTACTTCAAGTGTGTACGTTTGATGCATGTACACTGTATTCAGCCACCCTTGGGAAAAATTTTAATGGGGGATTCTAGAGGCCAAAATAAGACGAAAATCAAGAATACCAATTTGTTAATAGAGCCTTTGTTAAAAAGTTCCGCCCATTCTGAATTTTTTTCTCGATAATGTGCATGATTTCGGGGGTATGTGTAATGACAAAAAATGATTGTAATGGGGCCCTGCAACCGAAAATAATTTTTGCAAAACGATTTGAAATTTTTCTTTTTCGTCGAAAAATTTAGGCCTCTTCTCGAATTTTTTCCTTGAAAATGGGTAGGAATTCGAGGGTATGTCTATTCACCAAAAATGATCGTAATTGACCCCCGCGACCGAAAATAATTTTTCCAGAACGATTTGAAATTTTCAAATTTAATTGTTAATAACTTTTTAACGAAGCCTCCATCAACAAATTGGTATTCTTGATTTTCGTCTTATTTTGGCCTCTAGA